ATTGAAGAACCAAGAGGTTGACAGTATGTACCAGGTTTGGTCGCTGACGCAGCAACTCGGCATTGAAATATTTGAAAAACTTGTTCCCATTATTTATTTAGCCATACCCATACACAGGTCTAAACGAACTAAACATGGAGGTGGTAGAAATGTATACGCCCAGTTGAGAAATGCAAACGCGGGCAAACGAAATACAAACACAGCTGCATTGGGCCACTGGGCAATAAATCTCAGTTGTTGACAAGTGGTTGACAAATTGCCCAGCAGTGCAGTGCAGCAATGCGGAATTTGGTGTGATTCAGGTAATTTTAATTTATTATAGGCACCTTCTATTAGCCATTGATATTACAATTGCGAAGGGGAGAAATAATATTACAACATGGCATTTGGGAGACCTTCTGAAACGGAACAAAACGAAATTTACTATCAATATAATAAAATTGTTTGAGAGCATACTTAATTAAAATATGTTGTTGGCCAAATGAACATATAATATTCAAGGACACCCTGTATACTCACAAATTTTAACTTTCGCTATTGTTGTATGCATAATTTTATCTGAAACATTCTGTATTTGAGTGAGGATAAGGTGTATCTAAGCTGCTAGCATCCATATAAAATATAATCCCTTGAATATTTTATGATATAGATAGATCTGTGCAATATAGTTAGGTAATTTTGTTTTTGAGTGACTGGAGTTAACACCATGTCACATTTTCGTATTTTTTTATATCAGTGGTTACTATTTGTTAATTTTTCGAATAATGCAACTTACTCGGCCCATTTTTTAGAGTCAGCATTGGTAACATTGCTAAAAAAGTATCGGTGGATCTGATAACTGTTAAAATATCTCCTTACTTATCCAATGAACAAAATAAACATTGACCTTAAAATGTTGAGCAAACAAACGATAAACGCGACATACGTAATACCTATTTCGGGTGTGTTTACCACTCGAATGAGTGTCTTCAAAAATAAGGTCGATTTATAATTATCACTACGAGTAATTGCTAATTTAAATTCAAATTAGTCCACGAGTTCAAACGGTTTAGGCGACCGCAATAATTGCCCATTACCTTATAAGGGAACTACGGGCACTTCGTGTTATGATAAAAAAAAAATGATGGTAATTGACATTGACATAATCCAGTCAAAACATTTACAATACTAGATTTGAAGATGTACTGTAAGTAAATATATCAATTAATTATAAATTTGATAGACCACATAAAAAAATTATTTTATCTCGTAGCTCTTTACAAAATTGAATTAAGTGTGAACCAAAAACAGATCGACTTCCAATTTTTTCATCAGGAAACGATGAAGCATACTTTTCTTAGTACACTGGTACCAAACCTGATACTTCATAAATACAGTCTGTTATACACTTTAGAAATTGTGAAATGATTTTCCTCAGAACCCTTTTTTTTCTGTGAATAGAGATCTCAGTTTCAGGAAAATATCATTTTAATTAAAGCTAATTATAAAAAGTAGCATCATTAATTGACAACAATAAATATACAAAATTAACACCATTTGTTGCCTGATAGTACCCAAATCGATAAATGTTCGGATAAATGAATCCATTTTTAAATATCAGATATTCTCAATGAAAAACTACAGTTCGAAAAAGATAACGCAGCCCTACACTAGGTACACAGCACACAACACAAATCAAAAAGTTTATAACGGGCTTCTGTTACAAGAGACTCTTTTAGTGTGACGTCACATATTTAGGCAACCCGCAATAAATTTTCATAGTTGAAATTATACAGACCGAATCTGATCCTTATGTACTATTTACATATAAAAATGAACAACTTCAAATTAATTTATTTTCACAAGGATTTGGAAGTATTTAAGAACAACCAACATGTGTTTCGTAAAACAGATAAGACTAATGTGTTTAAAACTTACAAAAAACGATATAAAAGCACAGTATAAAAGAATATTCCTAAATTTAAATACAGTAAAAATTTAACATTAGCCGTGTTCTTCGCATTTTCTGGTTCTACTGGATATTTTTATTGCTTTCCTTGGTCTTGTACTGTATCAGTGTGTTTATCGAGTGATTTTTTCTTCAGTGGTTTATTATAGACGTACTCTTAGGGGCCATCCATAAATTACGTCACACGAATTTTAGGACTTTTGAACCCCTCCCCCCGTCCTTGTCACAGGTTGTCACATTTTTATAATCCCCCCCCCTCCTGATGTGACGTCACACATTTATTAAATTTAGGCATGTATTTAAAAATAATCGAGAGAAAACAGCTATTTTCATTTTTTAATGTTGCATGAGAGATAATTTCATAGCGAGAATGCTAAATTATTAATAAATATAGATCAAGTTCGTAGATTTTTATAGTTTTTTATTCACATCTAAATTTCGCATTTTAGTATTTTAAATTTTAACATGTGAACAAAACTTTTGACCCCCCTGTCCCTTGTCACACATTGTCACATTTCGGTGATACCCTCCCTCCCCATTTACGTGTGACGTAATTTATGGATGACCCCTTAACCACAATCAAACATTTCTAGATTGATATCCTGTTGCGAAGCTTACATGAAATTATCTTTAATGCGCATGCTGAGTAACATTGATATAATTTTAATTTATTGATTACTATAAAAGTCAATATTGTTCTATAAATTTAAATATATAAATTCTATAGGTAATTCTATTAGTTCATCACTTGGGGTTTGAAACTTTTTAAATATTTCTAATATAGCCAGAATATCGCGATATCTAAGGTCATGACAAAGAAGACATTTTTTTTGGCACTTATGTGACGTCACTACTAAAAAGGTCTATTGGCGCATCGGAAGGTACGTAATAGCCAGTGCAACCACCAGACTTAACGCTCCTAGATATTTTCTTGTATCGATATTTAAAAGGCAGTGTTTGAAAATACAATAAAAACTGAGATACAAAATGAATTCGTCAATTTAGAGTGCTGCCAAGCAGCGAATGGTCCCAATTGGGGTATTTACTGTAATTACTGTTAACAATTAATGATTATAAATGATTTTATAACATTACAGCTAATATAAATTAGGAACTGGAACCCCTACTTTGCTCATAGAAAAAAAGTTCAAATTCTTCATAATTTCTAGAATATAGGCAGTAAAATATATTCATATATTTAAGATAATTACTTGAATTGTCAAGGGATTATAGAGTAAAATGTTTCTGATGATAAACAGAAGAGATTTTTGCATTTTTTCAATACCTAGCTAAATAGAAATTCTTGAAATACAATTCAGTAGGTACTTTTTTAGAAACCCTGATTCAATGGCGGAAAATCTAAGTTTAATTCTTCAACAAAACTTATTTCGGCCCATTTCATAATTTCTAAATGAATTTATTTGATTTCTTTATGAAAATATCGAAAAAATCATTAAAATTCTTCATTTTCCAAAAGGTAGTAGGGAGCAGAATACCAAAACAATGCGAAATGGCTACGCTACTGATTTATTTCAATTTTTCGAATTCTGTTAAAACCACATATCTAGAAAAAAACCATCGACGTAGAAATTTTGCATTGGCATTGACACATTTTATTTAAACTTCTTTTGTAAAAGAGTAGTTCTATTTTAAAATCATTTACAGTAATAACGGTAATATAAATAAAGTAATAACTGGAGTATGGTTCGTTTTTAAAATAAAGTACATAAACAATTTATTTTTCTCAGAAACGTTACTAGGAATTAAAATTAGTGATCGAATTTTCGGAATATCCAGTGGCGTCGAATGTTCTGTTATTCTTAGAGATAATGACACCGTATCTCCGCCATCGTTTGACCTTATTTATACCTATACAAGTCCACCAGATATTTACCTTTAATTAGGAAAGTGACTTAAGTATCACTTTACGCACAACTTCTTTTTAAGGATTAAAAAATAATAAAATATGAATCAACCCTTTTATCTCCTAATAATTTTTTTGTCATCATTATATCTGTCTCCATAAGTGAGCGACAGACAGATTTTATTGACAAATAAATTTCTAGTAGCTCGAAAAACCGGCCCCTTGAAAACAAAATTCTGATTTTGTGCACACTATATCTTTTAAATCGTCAGTATTTGTTTTAGGGCATGTTTGGCCAAATCACCACATTTTAATCTGTAATATTCCCAAATCCGAATAATGGCTATTTTCAGTGAATCACCTTATATAAAAATTATAATTTTTTAAGATTCCGCAAATACTTTACGTCGAGCTTTGGCGCCAGCGAAATTTCACATCTCGATCTCTCCACACTACCCGACCCTGAAAATGTTTTAATTTGTTTTTGCATAACAAATTTATTAAAGTATTAAATTATTATTATTATGCGGAGTTATATTAGGAAGCTCTGGGCCCCCTAGTGGCCTATTTTCCTGCACTGCTCAATTTGGCTGCATGGTAGTTCCGCCAAGTTCTATAAAATTCCGATAAAAAAAATTAGGAGTTGCTGTTTAAAAAATATATCATAACGTCAAAGCCCAAACATAATTGAACATTTTAACAAAAACGTTAAAAAGTTATTCGGAAAATATAAAAATCGACCCAACCTGACGATTCTCTCTAAACACTAGTTTCACGCTCAACAGTCATTCATTTGTTACGCACTGTATAAACTGTGGCACAAAATTTAACTTTTTAGAGCAAAACAAGTGCTGAGTTTTTAAATAAAAATGTAGGTCAGTTCTAACTAGCCAAAAACCCTTAATATCCCTTATCACAGTGAATCATTGGACACTTCTCTTTTAATTTTGCTAACGACAATCTTTGCAATGTTTATTTGTTTAATAATACACGAATAGTGCGCAATAATCCAACTATTATGTTACTTTCGCAGGTTTTACAAGCAGCTTTATAGACGTACCTCGTCATTTCTAATTTACATAACTATGAAAAACAACATAATGTAGGCTAGGCCCCAGCCCATTTCCGAGCGAGTTGGGCCAGAAGCAGTTCTCTTAAACTATACCCGTTCCGGTGCGGAAAACTTACAAGTTCGACGATTTTCAGTACCCCAGGGGTCGTCTTGAAATAATCCACGTTAAGTTTGATCCACGACAACGGGGAGTCAGCGGAGGCGGTTTGTTGCTTGTTGGGCGCAGCATTGTTGTTGGGGGCCTCCTGCACGGTTACCACCGTCTCTGTCATCATTAGACGGACTTTTTTTTCTCGGATAACTGGAGATACCGACACTTTCTTTAACACCTGTTAGCACAGCACTGCCGCGACAATTTCTAGCAACAATTCAAGCTCGCCGCGCGCGCGGTACCGTCGACAGTCAGACGTTCGAATCGGAAGGTGGGACTACTGACTGGCTGGGCGATCGGCGCTTGTTTAGAACGGGCATAGGTATGTCGATGGTGGAATGTAGGATGTGGGCACGCATTCAAGAAAAGTGACCGAAAAGCGTTTGCTGTCGGCAGAGTGCTAAACTCTGGGAAGATGTTGAACCGCCAGTGGTCTAACGCAAATGCACAGGTACTGTTATAATTCCAAAGTAACCGTAAATAGTATGAAGTAATGGATTATTCGAGCCTAAATATGACCACAAGTCAATTAAAAAGTTGTATCCTTACCTTAATGATAAATGGTGCTATTATCTTTGATTTTCGGGGAAAATATAATGTGTAGAAATTGCATAAAAGAACCGATAGCGCAGAATCATAAGATTTTTTTTCAGAAATTCGCAGTAGGTTAAAAAAAGAGACGTTGGTATAGCTCATGCAGCTTATATCAATGTACACTTGAAATTGAAAACATTGTTAAATCTGATATCAAAATATTGGTCATATAATTCTCGTAGAGGCGACAGTCCACTACCTTAAGTTTTAATCTAGTAGGACGTTGAATAAGTTCCTGCTGTTTTCCAACAGATGGCGCTACCAGAACTACGCGGAGAGCTCTATAGCAAATAGGCAACCAGCGATACATTTTTATAGATTTTATTACACAGTTTGTCTAAATATGAATTAATGCACAAATAACAGACTCCTTCGGTCCAACGCAGATTTTTTATAAAATAGTTATTTTGAAACTCAAATTACTCTTTGTTGTAAGGAAATTTGTAATTTGCCGCTTTTGAATGAAGGGCATCGTAAATTACAGATTTCTTTACACCAAAAGTAATCTGAGTTTCAAACCAAGTCCATTTTATAGAAAATCTGTGTTAAAATGGGGTAAAGTCTGTTATTTCTACATTAATTCATATTTAGACAAACTGTGTAATAAAATCTATAAAAATGTATTGCTGGTTGCCTAATTGTTATAACACAAGCACCTATAAAGAAGTACTACAGTGTAGGAAAGCGTCGATGGTCTATCACAAGTTACGTGAGAGCGATAAAGTAAGACATAGAAATCCATGCGATAGAGAAGGATGGCTATAATGAAGGCGTATCATAGTCACCGCTCGTTTCGCCCTTCTGATCTGATATAAGCACGCTTGAAATTCAGTGAGTTATTTCGCTGGTGTAACATTTTTTTTTCATACTGTTAAACATGTCATGTTTTGGGTCGGAAAAAGTGTATTTGCGGGGAATTTTACTGCACGACTTTATTCAAAAGAAATCTGCAGCTGAAGCAGACAGAATTCTTAATGAGTTGAGGCTTGCCATGCTCTGTCGTAAACAATAAGATAAAGAACGCTCTGGTCTTCCGAAACAGTTTGAAGAATGAAGAATTGGAGGTAGGAAGACCCATGTCAAACGTTAGCTGAACTTGCATAAACATTAGGAGTTGATCACACAACAGTTTAAGGTGGGCATACACGAGTCGACATGTTAGACGAGAGACGGCCAACCTTCCGGACACAAAGCCGGAAGGCTAACCTTCTCGGCTACACATTACTTTTTAAAGCAACTTTGCAGTAAGTTTGTGCAAAAAGGTGTAGGCATGATCTCGGAATACGATCTTACCTTAATTGGGGTGACACTTGCTTTTATTTGTTGCCTAAACAACAAAACATAAAGTGCAACCGTTCTTAATGGGTAATAAATCGACAAGTGCATTCCCATATGCATCTAATACACGAATTACGCTGGAACCTCACGATTATAGGAATTATCTGCGTATGGACGAAAATACATAGACGGAATTGCTCGAACTTATTTCTTCATTACTTGAAAAACAAGATAATATAATGAGGTCAGCAGTCACTCCCCATGAACGATTATGTTCTCCTTCGAGATATTTAGCATGAGGGAGAAGCTATGAAGGTTTAAAATTCTCAACCCATATCTCTTCTCAAGCTCTGGGAATAAGAATAATACCCGAAACTCTCGGTCTGAACTAACTCCTCAGGCATACACGTTCCGACTTGTACGCGAAACGTATAGCCGGAAGGCAAAATGTCAAGTGCTGGCTGTATTTCGAGAGGCCAAGAGTTCAGGACAGATCTTCCGGCCAATATACCCACTAACGTTACGGTTCATCTTACGGTTTAAAGACGTTTGAAAGTATTAAGAATGATTCAAAAGCAAACGTTGGCTGCCGTACGAGTTGATGCCGAGAGACGTCGAACGGTGTCTTTGCACGTGTGAACAGCTGCTTCAACGGCAGTTTTTTTCTACGTAGCGTAACTGATGATGAAAAATGGATCGGCAAAGCCGAACATCCATGATTTCAAGCTCCTACTCTACATTTGGTAGGATCAGCTAGGTGTAGTTTATTATGAACTGATCTAACCAATGAAACCATTACAAGAGATCGCTATCGACTACAATTGATGGGTTTAAGCTGAACATTGAAGGAAAAACGGCCGCTTTATGAACAGAGATACGACAAAGTGATTTTGCAGCATGACAATGTTCAACCACATTTGCAATATTGGAAAAACCCTATTTGGAAACGCTTAAAAGCGAAGTCCTACCCACCTCACCCGCCATATTCACCAGATATTGTTTTTTCCGATTATCACTTGTTCCGATCAATGTCACATGGCTGAGCTGCTGAGCAGTACTTCCAATCTTATGAGGATGCCAAAAAATGGGTCCACTCTTAAACAGCCTCAAAATACATGTCGTTTTTGCAACATAAAAATTCTACAAGAAAGATATGAAAAAATAGTGGCTAGTGATGGGCAATACTTTCAGTGACATGTTTTTTACTATTTTTTTTAAATAAACCATTAATTTTCATGAAAAGCAACGAGAACTTATTCACCATCCCATTTTATTCAGTGAATTAACTAATACTGTTATCAATTTCCTTAAAACAAATATTAATATCTTCCTATCTTATTATACTGAGGATGTATAATAATATTAATAACACCAATGATTGTGTGCAAAATTGTAACATTCCCTAACTCGCACTCAGAACTGATATACTGTTAATAATCTCTCTTTCTCAATGCTATCAAGTATACTGTGATATCATTTATCAGACGATCGCACCCCATTTTGTACAATTGGCAATTCTCTTGAACGTCCTGATACCTAAAGACCTAAGTATATGTTTATCTCGACCACATATTAAGTTTTAATATTCACATCGACAACATAATTCAGTCAGCATATAAAGGATTAGATGTTTTTAACTGGATGGCCTATGGTTTCTCTAATATTCACATATACTTTCACAATATTTTCCAATTAAACATTGAAAATGAACAAAAGGTGCTTTTTAAAACTTTTTCATTTAATATGGAATTTTTCCTCAAATGCCGGTATTCCTCAGAAGAATTTATTCAAAAGATTTAAAATATCCAGGCTTTAAGAACTTACACTGTGATGTTTCTTTATACAAAATTTTAAATGGAATGCGTGATAGCAATCAGGCAACTTATAGCTCTTATTTATTTTACTTACCCAGAGCTAGACAAGTTTATTAAAATTTTCTCCATATTACAACGAAAGTGTTTAACTTATAAGAACTTGTAAAATAGAATTAAAAATGTATCTTATTTACTTATTTGTAATGTTGTTTTTACATTGATGTATTTATTTATTATTATATGGTTTCTTTGTTTGTTGTAATATTAATTATATTATTAATAGAACTGTTACTTGCCTTAAACTGAGTTCTTGAAGTTCTTGAATTTAGGTACCATCCAAATTTAAACCAAAATGTTATGAGTCATGCCTAAAATAAAGAATAGGCTTGGAATTAACATAAAGTAAACTGCAACCAACAATGTATGTTTTTACCAAGTTCTACCAGTTCTTTGTGGAGTGGTGATGTAATGTTGGCTGCCTACAACTATGGTAGGCAGTAATAGAAATAGACAAGGACATTTAAATGTCCTTGGAAATAGAGCATATGTGGGACTATGACGTCAAGGCTACTTTTTAGTTCAGTACAGTATCAAAATTCGGTAGAACGTGAAAGGGAATAACGGAAACAGAGATTGTTGGTGCTGTCAGTGCTGTCACTGATCACTTGACAGCGGCAAAATGAAGAGTATGTATTATTAAAAATAAAATTATTTTTCCTTGTTATGAGAAACATGAGTTGTCACAGATTACAATCTGTGTATTATATAGAAAATAGTTCGTACTGTTCTGTTCTATCTTTCTCCTCCGCTTACTAAATAATAAAATTATTTCCATAAAATTCTCCGTAACTTTATTACAACCATTCTCTTGCCCGTGTATTGTATATTGCCTACTTTCAGGCGTTCTAAGCTTTCTTTCAAGGAACTGTTCGACCGCGTTCAGGAGATCAACCATAAACGTAGCAATCTGGCAGTGGCGTCGCAATCATTTACTTAAAGTAGTAGCTGTTTCTAGAACAAATAGTTGAACAGTTACGGAATAGATTTTTAATAATATGAAAGCAGATTGGATATAAAAGTACTAGTCTTTACAGGTATGGGCTAAAAATACATTTTAGTTCAAATGTGTGCAAGTGATTTATTTCTTTTGTGTCAATGTTTCTTGAAATAGATTTCTCGTAAAAGACAGGTTATTTTTTATGTCAAGTCCAGACAAATATTGGAAAACCGTAGATGCCACGTGAACATACGATCTGAAACGTAAAAGTTCTTCTGTATACGGTCCAATTCAGAATATTGTCATTAATATACAGTCCTCATAATTTCAACCGTTTCTAGTATTTCGAAAAAAGAATTGCGCGATATAATATAGTGATGTATATTTTATCTGTTTTTTTCGCGTAAGACTTTTTAGGCAAAACTATTTTCATAAAAACCCTAGACTGTTCCTTTTGAGCAAGAGTTAAGTATGCTATAAATAAGCGACTTCAGACAATATGACGTTAAGTCCTCTGGTCGGTATTTCAGTGCATTTCTTTTAAGTCAAAATCACTGGGCGACGAAGCTGACAATACACTATCGGTGAACATCGCCGCAGGCGAAAAATTTAGAGCAATTTTGAAATAAATCATAATATTTCTTCCGAATACAGTCTATTAACTCGTTTTGAATTGTCTGTTAGAACCTGATTTTACTGTTTACTGTTTTACAAACAAAGTTTACAATAATAAAATGAAAATTATTTTCAATTATAATATTTTTTGCTTTATTATTTGCGGGGCAAACTGTTTTGTGCTTGTTATTGTTTGGTGTTTCATTTCCATCCATGGGCAACTAATTTTCATCAGTAGGCGACATTTGTGTCGCCTACTTCGCTAGTTAAAAAATGTTCTGCGGTATTTGATCACCGTGGTAGCGCAGTCGGTAGAGCATGCGGTGGCAAGCATTTTCGACCAGAGTTCCTATTCTGGTCCGGCTTCGATCCCTGGCGTCGGCACTGGCAATGTCGATGGATAATGGGTGTTTGTCCGCGTTTTTTTCAAGTGTAGCCCCCTTCCGCACATCCTTTGGTTTTGGATTTGGAGGTTGTTTCATTTCTGTGGTATGTTTTATGTTTATGTTTTATTTATATTTGCATAGCGGCCCCTGGGGTTTAAATGTATGGTTCGAAATCATTGGTCTCTAACATTCGGGTACTTAATTTTTACGTAAGAGTCGTTTGCAAATTCCTCTTGGTTTTCAAATACAAAAATTGAAATAATTTTTGCCAGATGACTTAATCTCCAGAGAATGAAAAAAAGAGATATCTGAAAATGCCAAGAAGTTTAAACCAGCGACGGCAACCAGTTTGGAAATTGTACAACCACTCACAGCTACTACAAAAGCCTGCAAACCAAACTATTTCTACTCCTGTTTTATTCCTTTGACAAGACGCTTTACCTTTTCAAAATATTCATTTTAATTTATTTACTGTAGTTTTCAGAGATTACAGTCTATATTTTAAAATCTAATTATTTAAGCATGATTTGTCTTATGCTAAAGCTAAAGTTGCTTGGCAGTTTTTCTTCAATACCTGAAATAAACTATATAAACCCTCTTTTGATATGCGGGCTACGACACTGTGGGTCGCCGCTCCGGGTTCTGCTTTCAGGTTCTTCGCCGTCCGACCAAGTACAATTCTCCATCCACCATCGCGCAGACTGGGTCACGTTGTATAATCCAGTTCCGTATATCCTTCTGGATGGCTCTTTGACGGTGTGTTGTTGCTAGATGTGAATTAGAACCGGAAGATTTCGTGAGCCTGAGCATTATGCACGGTACAGCGTTGGTGACAGTGTCCAGATAATACAAAAGTTTTGTCGGTGTACGATGCTTTGGATGTGGTAAGTCCATGTTGCAAATAGAGGTTAGAGAACCGTTTTATGTGTGCACCATTGTATCAATCAGTTGTTATACACGATGGGTGTATCTGGTACTGGTATCTGGTTGCTTTATTGTATAGGGTTGGAGTTTTGTTTACACTGTAAAAAGTGGTACATGTTCTATACTATATAAATATTGTCTACATAGTAGTTGAAATAATATTCTTAAAGGAGGTATAGTTTTTCAACCCATGATAAAAAAGTCGTGTATTTGCTTCTTACTGAAATTTATTTAAAAAAAATGTTAGGACGGCCCGAAAATACGGGTATGATTTTATTTGCTATACGCACTTTTAAGTGCAGTTAAAAGGTTTATAAGTATAACAAATTAATGTCAGTATTATTGTATGCGTTAATTTTTTTGGAAGCCCTTTTTTAATTTACACTGAGAAAAATGTAACTGTTAACAGTAACGATGTAAAACTGATATGCAATTTCTATCGCATAAGTTAATAGAATTTTAAGTATTTAGAAAATGAATTTTGTTTTACAACTTTTGGTGGCCACGAATGAATATTACAAAATTAATTAAGTAATGCAACATTATGACAAATTATTCAAATGTTAGACACGAGAAAACAATATAAAAAGAATTTGTTTACCAACACAAATAAACGTTTTTTGCATTATTCAGTTCGTTTTGTATTCCAATGCTAATTTGATTAGTGAAACGCGTATCTAATGTCGAATATTGAAAGTGCCTTTCAGTTTTTTTGTTTGTTATCATATACATTTATTCAAGTTTCACTTTCACAGTTACGGTGGAGTTCGTACAGTTTAAATTTAATATCATTTCAATCTGCTGTATGTATTATCCTTTTACGTATGCATATTGAAAAAACAAACATGCCGTCTAGGTACATAAACGATGTAATGTAATCGGATAAATTCGAGAGTAACTTTAACGGAAAATTTGTGTACGCTCTTGTATCGCAGCTTTAATATCAATATGTATAATAATAGAACCATTTTCAGGTTTCATTAAACGTAAATGCAAAAGAGAATATAACAAGTAAAAACTAAAGTAAAACTTTATTAATGGGGGCGTTTTTATGCCTAATTTTCAGCGAATTTATAGCAGTTTTTGACGAGAGCTTTAGAAAAGCTATAGTCTGTTTGGAAATGAAAGAGAGTAATAAAACCCCGAGATAAGAACCGGCCATGGGCGTGGTAATATTTCGTTTCAGGTAATTATCGGGTAACACTAATGCTAACAAAATTGACAGGGATTGGAAAATCGACTATCTACAGACTTTTAAAGGANAGTTTAAAGAACAAGAAACTCAATTTAAATTTTAATTTTCTATACAGTCATATTTTTTTTGTCCAGGTAACAATTTCTGCAAATTTAACATTAATCTGTGACAGAATGCTTGGACTATTAAGAAAAATAATTGAAGATACATTCTTGAGCTTGGTTTTCAAGGTAAATCCAACCATCAAATCAAATATTTCAACTTAAAGGGCGGTGTATATTAAGAATTAAAGCAAAAACTGCCCTGCATGAACTTTTTGATAGCATGTACCATTTTCGAGAAAAATGAAGTTGCATAGAAGCAAATGGGGGACAATTTCAGAATCTACTGCAGTATTTCGAGTTTTGCTAATTTATTTACATGTGCAGGTATTTTGTTCTGTCTGTCTCCGAGTTTGTTTCCTAATATTTTTCTGTTCTTATCATTTTTTTAAGCATTCATGTTCACCTACAATTCAGTCCATTCAGTAATTGTTTATTTTAGTAATGGTAGTGTACCAGTTTACAAAATCAAAAATTAGTTATTAATAGATAATTAACTATCTGTTACACTTATTTTTGAGTTATTAGAAGAAAATACACTTTCAATAGAAACGCATTTATTAATAATATCGCACCACTACAAGAATCGCGCCCGCCGTGTATCGCCGTCCCTTCTCTCTAGTCGTCCTAGAGATGTCGCATGCCTCAGGCTTGCCGTGGCTCTACTGCGCCGGTCTTCTTCCACCTCTCACTCTAGATTCACGTAACATATCATAATTTGTTTATTTTGATTTACTCTTTTGAAAGTTACTTTACAACAAGCTTAAACTTAAAATAAATATTTTTTATTTCTTTAAGTTAATAAAATATTTTATTTAACTGTTTTATGTGATACGTAAGCAATTAAAATTATATTCTTAAATGCAAAGAATAAATAAGCTAGGTAGATAAATGTCTTCAACTCATTTCTCAATTTAATATTCTGTTAATATAGGTGTGTACTTGTGCCGCTTTATGTGAGCAAAAAAATGCAACTTTAGTTTTTTCGAAAATGGTACATACTAGCGAATTTCGACAAGTATACCTTTTTTGTAGTATGCTTTAGTTAGAGTTTACAAAACCGTTTAGATATTTTGACTTTTAACACATTTCTTTTTCGATTGTATCCCTCTGCATTTCAGAAAGAAACCGTTTGCACATTATTCTTAACGCTCAGTTGATGTTTACTTGTTTACAAATGTTGACTTTTTTAACTTTAGCCGATTTAAAGATAATTAAAGAACACCATTTAGAAAGTAAATACGCACTAGATACGCACTGTATCTCGAAAACAGGTCGTCTAAGAAAAAACGTTACATGAACTACCCCCATTATTTTTCAATTAGGAACTTGCACACAAGTTTTTTGAAACATGAACGGGACACCCTGTATAACTAAAGTACATTTTTAGTCTTCAGCGGCCTATAGTTTACTGTTATAATAATTAACTTTTATATAAGTCGCCACAAATGGTACAAAATTTAAATTTGCGAAGCAAATGTTCGTTGTTATTTTTTGTTTGTTTGGTAAAATCTTATTCAGCCAGTGTAAAAATTCCTTCGATCTTTGATAGAGAAATTACAGTTACGCTACTTTACAAAAGTAATATTATTATGGTAACCAACTATTTCTATCAAAATTAAAAATACGTACCTTCTTTATATATAAATCATAAATGGTTTTGTAACTCGAAAATAAATAGAAACGGATGGAAAAAATATACTTTTTTATACAGGGTGTACCAAAAGTGCCGCCCGTCCTTCTGGGATTTGATTAAGGAGACAAAAACGAATTGAAAATCAAGACTGAAAAATTTTCCGATTGTTTTTCTTTGTCAAGTTATTAAAAAAAATGATTAAAAAAAACTAAAAAAGTGAAAATCCAATTTTTTTGTCTCAAAACTGAGGTATGTGCATTTACCAAGACAATAGTAGGTAAGTATAGTTCCCGATTGTCGGTTGTACCTGTTTGTAAGTAACCTGAAAAAGATAGAGAAAAACATTTTAATAATGAAACAATTTTAAAATGGAGAGGAAAAAACTTATAAAATAAAACCATATAGTGCTTAAATAATAGAAATTGTTTTTACAAAAGGTGTTCAAATAAGTTGCCCTCTACTTCACGACAAAGATTGACACGATTCAACATTGAAGCATGAACCCTTTGTAGCATCTCTTGGTCTATTAACGGCGACAGCAGAAAAGAAAAATCTAGAGGATTCAGATCTGGTGATCTAGAAGGCCATGCTATGGGTCCACCCCTTCCAATACATTGTCTGGGAAATTTTGAGTCAGATAATTTCATACTCGTAAACCATAATGTGATACAAGCTCCATCATGTTGAAACCAATAATTTAGTCTAACCGCAAACGGAATGTAATCTAGCAATGGCAATGATTTTCATTTAAAAACATACAGTTGCAACAAATACAGCTCTGAACTACTCCAGCCCAAATGTTTATTTCTAATTTTTTGAATAACTCGACAAAGAAAAACAATAGGAAAAATTTTCACTTGATTTCCAATTTGTTTTGGTCTCCTTAATCCAATCCCAGAAAGACGGCCGTCACTTTTGGGACACCCCGTATATGTATAAAAAGAACATAAAGATGATTTCGGTCAACACATATATTTATTTTATGGAATATTTTGAAAATAACTATTTTAATTTAAATAAAAAACATATTTTCTCAAAATGGATTTAAAACATGTTTTGAACTATATAAATGTCAAAGAACAATCGATCACTTTAGGAACTGTAAAGAATAATTCCTTACATATTTTAGACGTTATAATTAGAAAGAATAATCATGGATATGACAAGTGTAAGGGGGAAGTCAACAACTACCAATAGATATTTAAATTTCAATTGAAATCATTGTATAAACATAAAGGAAGGTGTAGCAAAATGTTTGTATCATTTATTTATTTATTCATTTACAAACATCAATTTCTTCGAAAGATCAAATTTAAAAAAATTGTATATGATGCCTAGAACATATATTATTCTAGATACGTTTATAGAACTTTTGAAAACATTGAAATAATTTTCAAAGGCAACAAAATTTGGCACACAAGAAAAAAGTCCAAACCCAAGAGACCCCACATATCATTTGCGAAGGAATTTGAACAGTATCCTCTAGCCAAAAGTCATGACTTGTCGATGAATTTCGGAGAAAAGTGAAATTTTTGGGTGAAAACTGGCCTAAATATGGGTCAAAACTGATTTTGTCCAAATATATAATTTTAGTAGTAATATGAGGTGCTGAACACGATGTCATTAGTAAAATTTACCCATGACCTTGATATTTCTCAGAAAATCCACTATTTCGGGGAAAACTGACCCATTTATCTTTTCTTTTCATTGTGTCAGAAAAACTCAATCTAATACCAATTTATTGTTGTTTTTAAATTTAATATTGGAAAACGTATACTATTTTTAAAGATGACCGCTAAATATTTTTTTAATTTTGTTACCTGCCCTTTCAAAAATGTGAACTCACAGTTTTATAACTACATTTAAATCTGAAACTCCAGAATGGAAATGCATGCAGAATAATGAGAACCCTTGAAAATTGAGGCTGGCTTTCGCATTTTTGGACGTATGACAGAACCAGTTCCAGTCCAACGGATCTAACTAGCGGCAGAAACCGCTTTGTTTACGTCCAATTACGCCTTTCCATTA